ACAAAAAATGTTTTGGGAAAAAGGAGCAAAATGGCTCTTTTGGTCAAAAAGGTTGCAGACCCATCGTTTAGGACTACACCATGTGCTCTGTTTGACAAACCCCGTGATTAGTTCTCAAGCTCTGTGATTGGTTGACCTCCAACTGCATTCCATATGAAAAAAAACTTTTCGTAAAAAATAAAATCATACTTTATTCAGCAGTGCTTGCTTTACTCTTTGAAAGTCATCAGATGAATGCATTGTAATAAATGGTTCGACAGCATTAAATATATTACACATCTGTCGTAGTTCTTTATTTTTATTTATCTACAGAGATCGGGATCAGAATAGACCGGAAACTATTCTTTTACCGTTCAGTTTGAATTTCACAATAAAGTTAGTAGTAATATTTTGTTTTTATATTATTGTTTTTTATTAACTACAAGACCGCTGGGTCATGTTAAGACCATATTTTCTGTGCTGCTGTGGGTTTTTTCCATCGCTTTTGTGTTACAAATATCCAAACAATAACAATATATATCCGTCGTAAACTAAACCGGAAACAGCAATATATTTTATTTTGTTAACATTGTAAACTTGACAGCTTTTTAACCCAAACCACCTACTGGTTAAAGCAAGTTATTACACGTTTAGAGTAATTGAAGAACTGGACTGACTCCAAATGTTGTAAATGTACTTAGAAGTACAACAATATGGCACCACCATTAAAGTAGTGAAAAATAACAAGGCAATCAAAACCAAATGTGAATTTAATAAATTATATAAATATATGATTTATCAATATTTGTTCTTTAAATGTATTTCTTTATACAGTATATATATATATTTGTTCACTTGTATAAGTGCTGTGTCTGTACCTATGTACCCCTGATGTCAAGGCTTTCTGTGTATATAATGTTTAATGTAAATATATATTTTCTTGAATAAAGCAGAACAAATATCTATACATCTATATTGAGAATCAGGAGGCCATACATTTTCTAAAATCAGGGAAATTACCATTCTGGCCAATAACCAATACCAGCCAATAATCCAACTATGTGAGAAATATTTGAATAAATAATTCAAAGAAATAACATCTCTTTATTGGATATAGTTTATTCTTCATAGGGATTTTTTTTTTTAAACAATATTTTAATTTCATGATGATACATGACAAAAAACAACATCAAATCTTATAATAATAGTTAAGAAACTGGAACCAGCGAATATTCAGCATTGTTGCCAGAAGGATGTTTGAGTAACGTAAAACGGTTATAGATAATTTAAGGAAATTTGCTTCAAGTTTATATCCTTAATAAGGATGAAAATAATACAATTAATTATTTTCTATTTAAATTATTTGAAGATATTCTCACATTACATACATTACATTTTTTGTGGTTGCAATGCAACGAAAACTGATATTTAATTTGTTTGAACGTTAAAGGTAATCATTTTTATTTAATATCTTAATTTATAATCTAATAATATCTAATCTATCAAATGTCACACAAAAGAGTAAAATGCCTCTTATATATCCCACAGCCAGAGGGAATTAAAACCGAAGAGATTCAGTTTATGACCACATAGCACAAAGAAAAGCATTACATCTAAATATTCTGGAAGCTGATTCACCAATTAGAGGAACATGTCTTAAAGTTTCATCCCTAAAGAAAAGGAGCATAAACACAATGTTTAACTCATTTGAAGATATTAATAACAGTGAGTAATTGCACAACACATTTTTAGGATAAAATATAAGTTTCAAATGAAGAATTACATTTTTTTTTTATGAAAATGACTTTAAAGATGCATTAGAGGTCATCATGTTGATTGGTAATAAGATTTCCTGGAATTGCCCTCTATCAAATATTATATTATTTTAAAATGTCTCTTCTATATTTTATCTGAAAAAAACATAAAAAGTCACAAAATAGAAAATAAATCCAGTTTTTCGCAGGTCAAGCAGATACATGAACAGTTAAAACCCCAAACATATTAACTTCAAAACCATATAGAACAAGAGAAAACATTACAACCCTTATCTTATCTCGCTACTGATAGATTATTCAGATCATTGTTGCAGCTGAATTCTGTAACACGAGGACTTTGAGGAAAGAAATACACTTTTCTCTGATAAAAGCCAACACAGCAATTCAGCTTTAGAGCTCGTCCCTCTTCTTCTTCTCCTCCTTCTTGAAGACTTGTCCATCCGGCTGCTTCCTCCAGGCCAGTTGGACGTTGTCGTCCAATCCCTGGGCCCTTAGGTTCTTTTTCGCCTGAGACACAAAAACTCATATCATTATCGTTCCAATAAAAACAGATGATGTATCTTTAGTTCACTCATCTGAAATGGTAGCTGTTCCCCTTATTTCTTCCAGTGTAAAGGCTTACCTCAGGTTATGGAATAGTATTTGTACATGTTCCTAATGCATTTGGTGGCATGTGGCTAAGTTTCTGCTATTTACTTCTGCACATATTTACACGTCTTCTTACTAAATGCTTGGGTCCTGTTATTTGTGGCCAAAGTATTGAATGTATAATGGATATAGAATTTCATTCATGTTCATCTTGGTCCATTTCATTCGTATTGAAATTCATTTACTACATTTTCTTTCGTTGAATTCATTATTCTTTAATATATATTTATTTGTTTCCTATACCTTTTTCGTCTCTTGTTCTCATGTCATGTGAATTTCCTTTCTGGTGATTGATGTTTTTGCAGAAAAGTAGAAAACATGATTTACCTCCACCAACATCGCATCCAGAAAAGCGGGGTCTTTCAGATCCACACAGTTTGGTTTCTCCACCCTCACCTTTATCACTTGCATTGAAACAGGCACAACTACTAAAAACACAAACAAACTTCATCAGTCACAACGTTTATGGTGTCTTCTTTTCAACAGACTCAATATCATCACTTGCTTTAACGTAGCTGTGAATTGTACTCACGTCCGTAGCAAATGAATGGTTTCTCCACTCCACAGTCCAAGTCCTCCCATTTTCCAGAGTTGTCGAAAGCTGCAGCCACACAAACCTTTAAAGCTCTGTGTTTAGGTCTATAATCTGCCCAGTACTTGAAGGAGGAGTTACTTCCATCTGACCACTTCCAGGAGTCTCTGTAAAGGCCGATCCAATGCTTACCCCCTCCAGTTAACAGCTCATCAATCTGCTGGTTCTCTGCCAGGTTTCTCACACTGGCCAGGTCTGTGTGGTGTTCTCTGCAGTAGCTCTGGGCCTCAGTCCATGTCATTAGGCTGTCAATAGGGACAAATTTTGCATTCTGCCCTGAAAATGGACCACAGACAAGCTGAGTAGAGGCACCACAACATACAGCCTGACATCAATGCCACATCTGTAGTGGTATTTATGCCTTTATAATATAAAATATTACATTTCAATCCCACACATTTGTACTTTGTAGTTCTGGGGTTTTTCAACACATGAATGTTGGCAATAAACTCTAGTAAAATCAGTGGTGGATGTTACGGTAGAGTGAAGCAAGCAGGACCCAAATGCAGATAACACTGATATTACCTTTATTTCAAGGATAAGGATAATCATATAACTCGGACAAACAGAACACTCCCCGGTGAACTCCCCGACGAACCAACAATGACAGACAGAAAAAACAGAACTTAAATACACACAGGACTAATCAAGGAAACAAGAGACAGGTGAGGAGGGAGGAGAAAACACAGGGGCACCAGGTGAACACAATCAAG